AGAAATTATTTTTAATTTTGCCCTTACTTTCTCAACACATGAGCTGCAGAAACCACTAGCTGATGATCATCGATGACGATAAAAGTGCCAGCGGCGCTTCGACCAGCAATATTCAAATATACAGCAGCTCCAAAGCTTTGAGACGTAAGCATTAAGCCTCCGAGGATGCGATGCTTAAAACTCAGTTTTTCTTGGTTGTTCTCGATTACTGATCCCTATAAGAAGAATGTGATAAAATTGTCACTTAGCTGCACTCTAACCTGATGCTTGAGGCAGTCTGCCATGGACAACACGAGCAGCAGAACGTTCAGATGCATTTTGAACACGTATGGTTCTGATGCTAAAACGGGCCTTTCGTCAACCGTTAAAACCAACAAGACCAGGTGCTTGCCAGTGCCCGTATGCACATTTATGCCCTCATGCTTGAGACCTACCATAGCGACAGCTCGGCGGCGCAATGTAAACAGAAACGCGTTGAACTTGATACTGTATTTCGAACATGGCTGAGATCGTGTTGAAAAAAGGGTAGCCAGAGGCTTCTGTCAACAGAGACAACGAAACGGGTGACTTTGCACGGTTCATAAGCAATCAGATCGATATTGACTCCAGTATGGCGGCAGACAACCTGTATGAGTTACAATTCTTTTCTCACAATGATAGGTTAAGGCCTCTTCTCTCAGAACGCAAGGAAACTTTAATAATTTCTTGCTATGCATAGTGAACATGATGCTCAAATGACATGTAACATTCGTAATGCATTCCTATAATGTTCAGACTTACTGAGTGAGAGAAATTCGATTTGAGCAAAGTGGAAAACACTTCTCTGAAAACTGTTCTATTTCAAAGAGTCTCCGCGTACTGTCTCACGTAATGCTAGAAGGCTTACTTCGAAACGATGAGCGGGCAAGACGGCAGTGATGTGAGCAACAGTGTTTTTTTAACAATTCCATCGTAGATAAGACTCAGGGACTAAAGGAATATTTACGAATGGTGATATTGAAAGACATGGGCAAATGGCAGAGAGGTGCATTCTAAAATGAGTAAAAGTCTATCAAAGCATAGCCCTTGTTGCTCGAATTCTGATACCAGCTATGTCCAGCATAAGCCAAAAGAAGCTAGCTGCGATTGAAAATGGTGTATAAAAATATCAGGCGAATTTTTTCGGTGGAAAAATCGAAGAGTTGCCTGTTGTGCCATTTTTTCAGTGGAAATGGGAAAGTGATTCTCAAGGTCCAAGAGCAAATCTTAGCGGGGAGGACCCGTAAACATCCAATATAATAGAATACATAGCAGCGCGAAGTTCCATGCAGTGTATTTTCTCCCGCGATAGGGATGTCATGAATGCCTATCATGAACTCTGACACGGGCGGCTAACGAGGCTGTGATTAACCTCTTTCAGGCCAATCTCCCACTCCGTGGATATCTCATCACAAAAGCCGGACAGATGATATTGACTGAATTTTATGGATATCGGTCTTGCAAATCCCCGCCACACTCCATACTCTGCGTTCAGATCTGGAAACACTATGGGGCAGAGAGGAGTGCGTTTAAGTGTCGGGCAGACTACATCACGTTCCGTAGTTCATGTGAATACAAGAGACGTACTGCTTTGAAATAAAA